ATCCGTATCGAATCCGTATCGTATCGTGATACCGTACCGTAATCAATATACTTATTAATTCACCCTAACTTCCAGTTTGTTGTTGCTGACACAAGTAAAAATGAAAAAAATTTGAAACATAGGATAAGTTTACTCGTGAAAAGGTAACTCTTTGATCAGCCATGTAAATTAAATCAATTGAAGACTGCATGGTATTTAAGATAGTCCGTAATTACTTGTAGACAGTATTTCAATACCATAAGCAGTATTTGCTATCCAGACACTTCATTTTTGCAAAATACTTGTAGAGAGTTTAAAGACTCAACATTTGAGTATTTTAAAAACACCAATCACCATCACCATCATCATCACCATCATCATCATCATCATCATCATCATCATCAATGTCATTAATTTATCGCCCATATCATATAACCATCACCAACAACATCCTCATCATCAACACAACCTTCAGCATCATCATCATTATCGTTATCACCATCGTCATCGTCCTCATCGCCATCATCATAAACAGCACATAAAAATAAACATTAACAAAGTTAACAGGGTCGGTTGGGTTAGTCATGCTCTATCAGTCGCCTGTTGTTGGGTTGGTGTAACAAAAAAAATCCGGATAACTCTAAATTGATAACACACACACACACGCGCGTACAAACATACATCCATACACATACACACATACGAACATACACACACGAAATTTGCAATTGAACGAAAAACTAATCCATAGATAACAAAATGTGATAACAAAAACGTACCAAATACGCATACACACGCACACAGAAACTCATGCACACAAATTTGAGCATGCACGGACACAGAAAAACATACATAATTGAATAATAAAAAACTTAACACACTCAATCTTTCTCTCTCTTTCTCTCTTTCACTTTGTCTCTTCTTAAAGAAACTATATCTTTCTCTTCTCTTTCTCCTCTCACGCACATAAACTACACAAACACAAACATGCACAAGCGCATACACTAATGTAACTAATGTATACACACACACACACACACACACACACACACACAAGTTTCCAAATGTTAAACATGATACGCTGAACACATAATACACATAATGTACAACCAACAACATGCATGTTTGTCTGCACTGCACTGAAGAAAACAAATCTTTTCTAAAAAAATATAATATTGAATATCAATTTTTTTCAAAATATTACTGTTTTAATTTAAAAAAAAAATTATTCATAAACAACAAGTTAAACTAGAAAGAAAAATAAACAACCGAGAATTTGAGTATGTGTGTGTATGTATGTCTGTTTAGTAATGTGTATGTATGTTGCATGTATGTATGTATGTTGCATGTATGTATGTATGTATGTATGTATGTATGTGTGTGTGTGTATGTATGTATGTATGTATGTATGTATGTATGTATGTATGTATGTATGTATGTGTGCATTTAAGTATTCATATTCAGAAATCAAGGCAGCAATACTAATTAGAATTTCAAGTGTTAGTCTGAAATTTAGGAGAAAATTTAAAAACAACCAACAAAAACAAATTAAACACAAAAATTAATCGACAACAACAACAACAACAACATCTAGAAGAAAACAATTTTAAAAAATAATCAAAACAGAACAACAACAACAAGAAATTATAAACAGCAAGAGAAGACAACAACAAAAATACATTAACATTATTACAACTTAGGTTAGGTTATATCCTAACTCTCAATAACAAAGCTAACATGATGACAAATGAAATGATGACAAGGACAGCAACGACGACGATGATGATGTCATTGATGACAGCTATGATAACATTAAGAGGATGATGATGATGATGATTATTTTAAAAAATTTCGCACAAGATTTTAATCTATGAATGACCGAGTGAATGAATGGATGAACGAACAAGCAAATGAATAAATGAATGAATGGAAGAATGAATGAATGAACCAACAAAAGAATAAATAATAAACCAACTCTCATTATAAAATGCAACAGACAAATTGTATTTTGATGTCTCTATCTGTTCTTATTCAATTCAATTTATACTATAGAAGAGTATGGTGGCATATTGTTATTCATTATTATTATTATTGTTATTCATAATAATAAACAATAATAATAATAATTATCTTATTAATTATTATTTTCGTTTATGTGATGCTAATGTTGTTGTATAAATATAAATGTAATACACCAATCTTTAAGGCACAAATAATACACACACACAATACACACACACACACACACACACAGAGCCAAAAAAGGTGAATGAGTGTATATGTGCATGAATTTATTATGTAATTTCAAAATTCAACCAACATGCCTAAGTTGGCTAATGATTATATTTGTAGTTTGTTTGTGTGTGTGTGTGTGTGTGTTTGTATGTGTCGTGTGTAATGTGTATGTCCTATGTTGAAGTATGTCTGTGTGTGTTTGAATGTGTTTAATTTTTTTATTTTACTTTCATATCCCCACTCTCTCTCTCTCCCTCTCTTTTTACTCCCTCTCTCTCTCTCTCTTCTCAAGTATGTTTGTATCTGTTTAATTTCTTCCTTTCTCTCTCTACTCTGTGTGTGAGTGTTAGTTTGTTTGTTTGTGTGAGTGTGTGTGTGTAAGTGCGGTCCTACATTGGCGATAGTGATGCCAGTTTAGATTTCTTCATCTTGAAGTGTGTGGGCGATGAATCAGTTTATTAACATTTTATATTGCTTAATTGTTCTGGGAAGAATAAGTGTTATCTACATATTGTCTATTTATTTATTCATTCATCCATTCTTTCATTTATTGATTTATTTAATCATTCTTTCATTTGTATATTCATCCATCAATTCGTTCACTCATTCATTCACTCATACATTCATTCATTCAATCACTTAATCAATAATACCATACCATAAATATGTATGTAACACATTAAACAAGAGAGAGACAAAGAAAGAAAAAGAGAGAGAGAGAGAGAGAGTGAGTGAGAGAAAGAGCGAGAAAGGGAAACAAAAACAAGAAAATTAGATATAAAGCCAAAAAAGATTTAAAAATAGAAAGAGGAAGGAGTGGAAAAGAGAGAAAGAGAGGAGAGAGAGAGAGAGAGAGAAATGAATGAATGAATGAATCAACCTTATCAATGAGATTTTAGTTGTTAGCACAAAATAAAAATGACCTAACTGTAGCAAAGCATAACCTAACATAACATAACATAACATAAGAGCCACTGACATTGACCTACTAATACTAACAAAACAACAACCTAATACAAACAACAAGTCAGAGCATTAACCACAAATATAACATCAATGTTAACAAAGAGGCAACATAGAAACACATACATACACACACACACACAGGCATATACATGATAATAATAAAAACACCTGTTTTGCAAAATAAGAAATTAATTTTATAACAACTGTACAAACACACACACACACACACACACACACATATATATATATATATATATTGTAGAGACAAGATATATATATATATATTCTTGAGCATTTGGCCACATACATGGTAAGCAACATATCAATTCAATTCAAATGAGCTGAAGTTGGTATAGGAATACTTTTTTGTTCTGCAATGCTTAAATGCTCTCTCACACTTATAATAAATAAAATTTTTGGCTTTGAACTAAAGAAACTTGACAATGATTTACGATCTACAGTTAGAAAAATCAAAAAATTAAACAACAGGAAACTAACCAACTGCAGAACATGCTGTGATTCTCATCAATAATTGCATTTCTGACAGTCTTAATCCAATATATATATATATATATATACATATATATATATATGTATATATATATACATATACATACAATTATTATATATATATATATAATTATAAATACAAATAATATATGCATGGCCAATACTGGAGCAACAAGATTAAATAAATATACTCAGCAGCAGACAACAGAAATAAATAGGTCAGAGTTCAAATGTGTAATGGATGTGTGTGTGTGTGTGTGTGTTTGGTTGTTTGTGTGTGCGTGCGTGCGTGTGTGTGAATGTAGGTTATGTATGTTTGTTTGTGTGTATAAATCGTAAATAGTATCAATGGAGAGGAAAATCATACATGTTTACATACAAACTAATCACATGACTCATTTATGTTAAATTTGTGGAGGAATACAAATTAGAAAAAACATCAAATAAATCGGTCAAATGGAACTGACGATAACCAGAAAGTGAACAGCTGAAAACACAAAACAAGAAAAAATAAAGTTTAAATTTACTATTTTAAACAATATTTTAGATTTTATAATTTAAAATTTAAATTATGTAGCAAAATAAATAAATTATAAATAAGAGCAATAATGAAAGAAATCTCAAAAAAAATTTTTGATAATCATTTTTTTCAATTAATTAAACTAAATATTAAATTTTATTTAATTAATTTCAACTGCACTAACGTTTTGTCTTAGAGAATGAAATGAGAACTAAAAACTGAATTCATAACGCCACAATTGAATAAAAAATTTCCGTGAGATGCAAATCGTAAATTAGAAATTAATAAAAATAATAATAAATATTACTGATAATAATAAAATTTTTATTTTTTAAATAATTTATTTTAAAAATTTTGACAAAATTTTCGCACGAATAAGCAAAATCCAAATTTATTTGTTTTGAAAATTAAATAAGATGTATTGCATGAAAATAGTGATGGGCAGATATTTCGTATTTAAAGCTTCAAAATTTATTAATTAACGTTTTGGTTTTACAAAATAAGAATTTTTTTTAAAATAAACTTTGTAAATTTTTTTTATTTAGATTATTTTTTAAATTGTTAAAAAAAAATAAAAAATTATGCGTTAAAAATTTGAAAACAGCTGCAAGTACTTGATCGCCGACTATCGATCATTCGATTTTAAACAGGTAGGTGCAAAGGTTCCTCTGATTACATTTTTTCTAGGTAGGCAATTTTTTAAATTTGGTTTTTTTTTCTCATAATTTCGATATTTAGTTTACAAAAATGTTGTATATTTGTTCTATAATTAATTGACAGCATTGCCAGCATGCCGAATTACAAGTTAGTGTACTTTGATGGGCGTGGAAGGGCGGAAACAATTCGTCTGGCCTTCGCTGTGACGGGCATTGCATACGAAGATCATAGAATTAAGAAGGAGGAATGGCCGGAAATGAAGCCAAGTTCGTTTATGTTGTACTGTCATCTTAATTTGCAAACCGTATTATATAATATTATAATCATATAATTATTATAATATAATCATAATGTATAACTAACTATTATAACTTGTTTGTGTTTGTGTTCTTGTATTGTATTAAGTATGTATAATTTGTATATGTATATTTATGTATATTTGTATATTGTATGTATATATACATGAATATGTGCGTATATTTATGTATATGTATGTACATATGTTTTAAAAATTAAAATGTATGTTTTATCCTCAATTCTGTATATGTATGTTGTATATTTATGTATATTTCTATTTTATAAAAATGTATATTTTATCATCAATTCTGTATGATATGTGAAGTTTTTAGCTCTTTCTTACTTTTGTTAAATTAAATTGTTTGCTACAATCTGCAAAAAAGACTTTCATTAAAAATTGTATGATATATTTATATAAATTATAACATTGAGTTTTTAATGAAAGTCTAAACTCTAAAGATATAATATACAATTAACCTACATACATGTCTTTAGTAGTAGCAGTTTAATTCATTTGTTTAGTTTAGAGGATAGTTAACTAATTAAGTTATTAAGTAATTAGTAAGTAACCCTTACTTACATATCAATTGCATTGCAGTAGTAATAATAATTATAAAACATTTACAAATAACTTCAGAAACCTTTGCTGGCTACCTTCCCTACATGGAAGTAGATGGGACAGTCCTGTTTGAAAGTTTGGCAATGGCAAAGTATGTGGCTCGAGAAGGGGGTCTGCAGCCAGCGTGCAGTCTCAGTCAGGCCCAATGTGACGCCACACTTGATGTGGTCAATGGATTCCTGGAGAAGGCATCGGCAACCAAACACACCAGTGATGCCGGCGCCAGGGTAGGTGAAATTTAGGAGTATCGTCTTTCTTTTAATGTTTTTCTCAATTATTTCAATTCTTTTTATTTGTTCATTTGTTTTCATCTACATATTTCATTTTTGAATTTTTTTTATTGTATAAAGATTTAATTCATTTAATTCTTTAATTTCATTGAATAAGACTTTTTTAGTGGTTTTTCACGTCGTTCTTTTTGAAAATTTATACAACTCATCAAATGTTGCCAGGAGTTCCTGCAAAAGGAACTGTTTGGGAAGGTCTTCCCAGATGTGTTGAGGTTGTTGGAGAAGATTCTAGGTGACAAACACTTTTTTGTTGACAACAAGGTGACCTATTTTCACTTAACTTAATTTCATCCTTGCAACACTTGTTCACACCGCATTCAGTTCAATTCATGCATGCTCTCAAACTTTCATCATTGCAACACTAATCCACTCGTTTGATTTAGTATGCCTTTAAACTGTTTTTCGTAATATTGAATCACATCATTATTTTAATAATACCTACCCACATTTAATGGTGATACATCAGTGCATAATTTTTTCCCTTAAAAGCTCTCCCTTGCCGACCTGCATTTCTACTCTGTGTTTGAAAGTTTCTCAGCATTTCATGCAGAGTGGGCCAAGGACAGCCCAAAGTTGAAGGAACATTACGACAGGATTGCCTCCCAGCCCAAAATTGCTGAGTACCTCAAAAAGAGACCCGTGACCCCTTTTTAAAGTTGTGTCATGCCACACGGCCCCTTTGAATTTTGGCCGTATTTGACCCAATTTTTCATGTCACTAAGTCTCGTTGAGATCAATACGTTGAATAATTTGAGTAAGAAGTTTTCACCTACACAACATTGCAAAATTTGTTTAGCGCTTGTCATATTGTTTATTTATATGAAGTAGTATTGTTAGAATGTTAATTTTCATTACAAGGGTTGATCATGGTTGTTATTTTCATTTTTACACTATTGTTCACTATTTTTTGCACAATATATTTAGAAATCCTTAAATGCGTTTAAACAGTTCATGATTGCATCGTTTTCTCGTGGGTTGAGCTTGAGAATATTTTTTGCAATTGTGTGTTAAGAGTCGGTTCTCATATTCTTTCATTTCGACTGAATTCATATTTCCATTTATATTTCTTGCCGTTTAAACCGCAAGTAATAATTTATATTTTTGCTACATATTTGAGAATTTAACAAGAAACTATAAATTTAATGACATTTGATCCAAAACGCATTATTAAAATTAACGTCTACGTGAATTAATGCATTACACAGAGACAAAAGATTACACATGTTGTTTTATAACATCAGCAAAACACATTGATATTATTGAAAGGTCCGAGAATATTCTCATCAATAACACATCTTATCCAGACCAAATATTCATCATCTACATCTACTATTTCACTATTTATGACAGCACTGTTTTCATCGTCGGCTTTAATTTTCAATGAAATAAAATCTTCACTATTCAAGTGTTGCGTGTTTTGCAGTATTAAATCGTAGTGCATCGTGTCGTAGTTTAAGTATTTGATGTTGAATGGAGCATCCCACGTTACCCTCAAAGAGGAATCCGACTGCCATCTACATTTTAAATTTGAAATTCTATACGGTCTGAGGATTATCTTATTTCTGGATGAGTTTTTTATTGAAAAAATTTCTTCAAAATAATCGATTTTGGATTTGTGGACTTCGTTGAAATTGATTTTATCAAAGTATTTGGTATCAGAAATCGAGTATTCATCTACCTTAATTTTAATCAGTTGAATTACCTCTTTGATGTCAACGAGGGTATCCTGGTAGATCCTGAATAGCCAGGTTGGATCCTGACAGCAAAGGTGCTCGCTAACCACATCACTGTTTTCTATCCTCTCTCGTTCCTCGTTGTCCAGATGACCAATCCCACCTTCCTTGGCCGGGCGATTGGGATGAGTGACAGTTTTATAACGATCAGTATTTTGCCAGGCAATGTAAGATACATTCAACCCCGGAATGCTAACAACAGTACGAAACGGAGTGTAGTTGTTTAGACTGACGGCGTAAGGGAACAATTCAACCAGGATAGATCCGGGTGGGAGGAAGATTGAGAGAATCAGAAGGGATCCGTGCATTCCCATTATGAATTTGGCATTTGATATCTCTGCAATGATATCATTCAGTGTGTGACTTTCCAGCGACATCATCCGAATTTTGATTCCTAGCCGGTTGACTAGAGTTGACACTAGTTCTGCTTCATTTAATATTAACCTGTTTTTGTGTCTAATGAGTAGAATTCCTTTTTGAGGTTTATTTATTGTATTGTCACTGAGAGAATTCGTTATGTTCATTTTTGTTTTATAAAAATTAGTGAATTTGTTTATGATGGTTTTGTTGATTTTTGAATCACTCAGAGGTCCTTGAAAGGTTTTGAAACCATACTGGTACCAGGTTGTGTGCTTAAGGACCCCAACTATAACATTCGAGAAACAAATCAGAGAGTTATTATCCGACTGCAACAAATCATAGAGATAAAGAGGTTTGTTGTTGTTTGAAAAAATGTCATACAGGTAGCTGTAATCACCTGGAGGCCGGCTATCTGCGTAAAATAATTTTACATCCAAATCATGATTCACATCTAATGTAGATGGATTAAATTTAGATTTCAATACATCAATGGTGTAATAAATAGGTAAGAGGTCGTCATGAAAGATGTGCATCAAGTTGCTAGGGAGAAATCTCTTCATGCATAATGTGAAACCATCAACTGTGCTGATATTTTTGCCGAGAGGATTGCTGAATTTCTCGAGTGAAACGTCCATATAGGCGAAGTACTGTGTGTTGTGGTCTTCAACTGATGACATGTCTAGCAGGGCAGGGTTGTAAATGTTGTCAGGAATGTTGATGTAACTACTGCCATCTCCATGCACAAAAATAAATTCTTCGATGTCCGTGCTGAAGTAGAGATTAGTGAAGTAACAAATTCGATTTGTGTGATTTCCTCCCCAACAATGAGCGGATGTTGGTTTTAGTTTTAGCACTGGTTCTGATTTGGCTTGAACTGGGTGGCATTTCATTTTTATTAAACATTCTGTGATGTAGAACGTAAGGCCTGTAAAAATTTGGTACTTGGTGTCTATCCAGTATATGGAAATACTCAGCAGCATTGCAGATATTAACTGTGCTAGTATAATACCCCTGACATGTTGCATCTTTATACAGTTCAACAAACTCAACATTGGTTGTGATCTGTAAATATTATTACATATAATTTTATGGATATTATTACAGATAATATTACAAATAATGTTGCAGACATTATTACAGATATTATTATTATAGTTATTGTTCATAATATAGCATATTAATAAATTATTAATAGCATTAATTTAGATTTTATTATTTTCAAAATGATATCTGATGTTTTTCTATTCAATTTAATATTATCATTAGAAGTTAGGAGAATGAAGCTTGACAACAAGTGCAAATGGAAAAATTAATATTAAGGTTTGTTATCTATAAATAACTTTACAGATATTTTATTTTATCATAAAAATAAATAAAATTTTTATGACATGTCAAATAGCTAAAACAAAAGTGATAACTTCTACATTTACACATCAATGAAATGTAGTTGTGGCAGGTATTTTACATGTATAAAATTCTTATTTAATAATTTTAACCATCAATTTAATTTAAACAAAAACAAAAAAAAATTAAAAATAAACTTACAACATCCAGCATCTTTAGTAGACAGCTGGATGTATTTATAGGAAAAAATGGATGTTGGTGATCTAAGCTCGTGTGTCTGTGTAACTAAACTAACGTTAACAACGTAATTATAATGTGAGATGTAAGTAATCTGCAGATGATTTTTCCTCCTTAATCTTCTCCTTAATCCCCAATTATGTCCATTCAACCAAAACGTCTGCTGCTATGGCATAAGTGAGCAAGAAATGATGATCAATGGTCAACCTGAAAAATAAAAATTTTTTTAAAAAAGTGTTGAATTTAAATTTACATTTATATTATAATTCTATTATTAATTATTATAATTATTTTTTTATATTTTAAATATAATGAATCAAATAACTTATTAGCCCAGCTTTTCTCACAGATTTTTAAAATAAATTATTCATGAAATTTAATATTATTTCAGTAAAAAGAGTATAAAATTAAGAAAGATAAAATCACCAAAATAACAATTTTAATCGCAAAATTGGTGAAAACCAGCCTCTGTTGTTAAGCTCATGGCAACTTGATTTATTGAGTGTCTATGGGATTTCCTGAGTTTCTATTCTACATCTATGGTTTTTCTAATTTAATGGAAAGCTATCAACAAGTTTATTCATTTATTTAACTTTATTGTGGAAATTTGCCAACAAATACCTACACATACACACATCACACACACATTTACAGAATTACACATAAGAATTGAGCTATACTGCATGACACAGAACACACCACCCTTAGTCTGTTCGCATTTATAGCTCCAATACAATCCCCGGAAGTGTTTGCGTCATCACAAGTTTTTTCAGATTTATGAGAAATCATTATTTTGAGATTTCTGTAACAACTAATGACGTCATCGTTGCTCTCACTTCCGGTAAAGTTTACAATGGGAAGAATTTTATATTTCAAAAATAAAATTAATACTCTTAACTGATGTAACTAGTTTGCATTTAGTTACCTATATACAAGAGCTATAATTGATGGCAATTATTCAAAATATAACGACCGTTCAAATGATATGATATTGCAACATCATTGCATTGCGTAGTATTGCTATGTTTGTGTTGTATCGTAATGTGTGTGTTGTTTGTGTTCTATTGTAATGTTTGCATTGAAACATTTGCGTTGTATTGTAATGTTTGCATTATTAAGTAATGTAAAGTCTGTGTAAACTGTGTTGAATTGTGCCGAGCAGTATTTTAACAGTCTAAATTTTCATTATCGTCGTGCTGTAAAGATCATAATCGTAATCACCATCGTCATCATCGTCCTCACCGTCATCATCAGCATGACGCTCCATAAAAAAGTTTCTCATCATTTTCCTTCGACAAATACCTACGTCAGACCCAGCATGACATTGCAAAAATTACTACTACTACTACTACTATTGCTACTGCTGCTGCCACTTCTACTGCTTAATAATTAGCAGAAGCTGCTTGCTTGGCTTTATCAACCTGGACACCAGAGGAACTCAGCTACACGTACATACACGCAGACAAACGTAAAAACAAAATTTTTTAATCTGGAAATTTTTAAAAATTGAAAATCTAATTTTGCGGGCAGTTTTTTAAATAACGCACTTGAATCCGCATCAGCGGCAAGCCACACAAACAAAATCCGCAGAGTTAGACAAATTTGGCCAATTGTGGACCGGCTTCTACTGCACATGACGCATAATTACCTGCCTACTCTTGCATGACAGTACTTCATTACACTTCGTTGAAGCAATAAAACATGCTGCAAGCTTATAGAAACATTAACTCTCTCCAAATTTATCCATTTCTCTCTTCTCGTCTCCTTATCTCTCTTATACACTCTACCTGTTTATCGGATGAGAGTCCAGGTGTGTATATATATATACACACACACACGCACATATACATATATATATATATTATATATTATATTATATATGTACATATAATATTCATATTTTATGTATATATATATATACATACATATATACATACATACACCTGTACAGGTACACCCAACTACATGTACCTACACACTACATATTTACGCACACTTTCGTATTGAGGTTGATGATATCACTTGATTTACGTACTTTGAATTATTGAAGAGATCAAGCGATATCTGGTCCGTTTGTATTTTGTTTTTTAATTTATTTGATTTTTCATAATTAGAACAAAAAATTAATCAGTGTTGTGGTTTATTTAAATTGAAACTTTCATACATTAACCAAAATTTTTAAATTTTTAAATGGCTCAAATGGGAAAAGTGCTGCGTCACGCTGTTGACGTGCGACAGCGCAGAGACCAGGTTCAAACGCAAAAAAATAACACTGTCAAGCGTTATGATGCGTCATTCTATATTTATTTATACTCACATGTTTAATGGGAGTTGGCTGGCTGAAAAGTTGAAGAGCACCTTTGAAAGTTTTTCAAGCGGCGTTACAAATTTAAGAAGCTGATCATTTTCGACCCTAATTTTTTTCCCTTCAGTTTGTTGAATAATATTTTTACCAGCCAGCAAGATGCCCACCTACAAGCTGGTTTATTTCAACGGCAGAGCCAGAGCCGAAACGACACGTTTGGCGTTTGCAGCTGCAGGAATCCAGTACGAAGACCACAGGATCGAACGCCAACAGTGGCCGGAGCTGAAACCGAGTTTGTACTTTTGAATAAGCTTTACAGTTTACACGTTAAGAAAAAAAATCTTCTTCAATGTCATACGCTCACACAATTCTAATAGTAAAAGAGTAATATCACCCCGGAATTATCTAAACAATTTGTGTAAATGTGAGCAGAAACGTTCGCGGGCTACCTCCCGTACCTGGAAGTGGATGGGAAGGTGCTGGTGGAGAGTATGGCCATCGCGAGATTTGTGGCCAGGGAGGGCAAGTTGGCGGGGGGCTGCAGTTACGAGCAGGCACAGATCGATTCCATCGTCGACATCCTCTCCAGTCTGCTAGAGAAAGGATTCAAAGTTGTATACAACTCCGATCCAGCTGAGAAGGTGTGTGTGCCACTGAAATTTTTTTTAATATTTTGAGAAAAATTTTTGATCAAACCTGCCGGGGTCATGTTAAAATGCCACTTTAGTTAACGTTAAATCTATGAGGTAACATGTTGACCCATTTCGTTATCGAAGATAACATTTTCACAGAAACAAAAATTGCGAAAATGATTGTTCGTGTTCAAATTGATGAGATATTGATAAATAAATGAGTCAGAAAATTGTTAATGAAACCGTTGATTTTTAAAATTCATTTTTATTAAAGGAAAACTTGCAGAAGGAGTTCTTAGAGAAGACTTTGCCGGATGTCTTCAAATTGCTGGAGAAGTTCCTCCATGACAAACATTTCTTTGTTCATGATAAGGTTCACGATAACACTTTCTAATTCAATTGTTTTACCATTAATTGTCAAATAATTCAAACAATTTCATTTATTTAAACTGTTTTTAAGCTTTTTTAACATTTTACAATTTTAAAAATAAATTCAGAAGCTGAGTATAATGAAGTTCCCACTGCACTCACTTAAATTAAAAAAATGTTTTTTCAAAGTTGTCCCTTGCCGATCTGCACTTTTATTCAGTGATGGAGAGTTTGGCTCAGGTGCAGAAAGATTGGGCCAATGTGAGCCCCAAGTTGAAGGCCCTTTATGACAGGGTGGCTGCTCAACCCAAGATTGCCGAGTACTTGAAGAAAAGACCTGTAACACAGTTCTGATCTACTGAATTTTCTAATGAATCTACAAAGACAGATCTTTAAAAATATAACAAACATACATTCATATAATTCTTTTTCATTTTTAATAAAATTTACTCTTCCCTTTCCAATCTAAAAAATTTTATCTAGAATTTCTTTATTGTATTGATAGTTTATTAAAAAGTAGTTTGCTTATAAAACTTTTATTGTGATAAATTTTAATCAAAATTTGAAAGAAACTAAAACGTGAAATTTTTTTCAAACTTTGAGAATTTTGTCGTGGCAAACACGCTGCTTTGCTAGTTAAGCTATTTTTTCTTGTGAGTTTGCGCTGTTACTGAACGGCAAAGCAAAGTTATTATTTTTTAATGTTTATTACTTTAACTTCTCTGTTGAATTTCTTCTCCATCAGCTGTTGTTTCTATAAAAAAAATGGTTGAAAACAATAAAAAATATGGCGAGTTAGCTGCTGTTACGCGGTGACTTGGTTCAAATCCCAACTCCAATGACTATCATCATACATCGGGCACGCGTGATGTGTATGTACGTCGTCTGGAATGGATAGTGCAGTTATTGTGAGGCAAATGTTTAACAATATGTAGAGAGTGATATGTAAACCGAGCCGCAGAACGGAGAATAGAAAATATGTTACTTCCCGGTCTACTGGCTCTAAGCCAAAAACTGTTATCAATTATTGTTGTTTCATATTTTAATGGTCACACGGGTAGTTATGTGGCTGTAGATTGGAGGATGATTGGGTTTGATAAATTTTATTTATTTTTATAATGGAATTTTCTAGACTAGAATGTTCTAGCCTAGTTCTAGCTTATATAAAGTTGTTGGCTCTAATTCGCGAACTTTGATCGAGTTGAAAGTGGTCTGGTTTGTTTGAGATTCGCGAAAATTTTTATGTTGCATCAACATCATAATTTTCTGTACTGCCTTTTTACGTATTAAGTTTTACAATGAAGGAATTAAAGACAATATAATTGCAAGACAAACTTTTTATAACTAAAAAAAATCAGGATTATTAAACGAACAGAGAATCATAAAATAGAGGTAATATTATTGTTTAAACTGACCAATCAGTGGACAGCGGGACAGTGACATGGCCGGTTACAAGCTGGTGTACTTCAATGGCCGAGGTAGGGCGGAAACAACTCGACTATTGTTTGCTCTCTCCGAAATCGAATACGAAGACGTCAGGATCAGTATAGAACAGTGGCCTGCTCTCAAACCGAGTTCGTGTTATTGTTTTGCATTTTTGTCAGAGTTATATTTGAAAGAAAAAATACTGTATATAAAAATATGTAAGGTCGTATTTTAAGTAATTATACTTATTTTTACTTATTATTCTTGTATGAGAAGAGTATTTGTACCTATAAAAAAGCTCACATTACAATACTATGCTTTACTGTTATATACCTATTAATACTAATTAATAGGTATATAATTATATAGATTTATTGTATACCTATTAATAATAACTATACTTATAACTTCAAATAATTATTTAAATATATTCTAATCTTATAGTTTATTTAAGCTATACAAATCAAGCGACATTATTATTTTTCCCACAGAAACGTTCGCGGGCTACCTACCTTTCTTGGAAGTGGATGGGCAGGTGTTGGTGGAGAGTATGGCCATCGCAAGATTTGTGGCCAGGGAGGGCAATCTGGCGGGGGCTTGCAGTTTCGAACAGGCACAGATCGATTCCATTCTTGATATTCTCACCAACGTTTTCGAAAAAGGTGTCCAAATGGTCATCTACGCTGAACCAGATGACAAGGTTGGAGTTGAAATATTCTTCGGATTGAAAATTGATGTTCTCCTAAATCTTTTTTCAGTCTTTTTCTCTCTTTTTTTTTTTCTTTATCTCTCTCTTTCTTTCTTTCTTTCTTTCTTTCTCTCTCTCAGTCTTTTTACTACACTTCGTTCATGTAAACTTTCCAGATTCAAAATTGGTTGTTTATTTCCTTAAAACATTACCTGTATTACCCAATTCTTAAAATGACGCATTCAACTTAATTATTAGATGGACAATTTTATTCTTAACGATTTAAAAAAATGATTGGTAAATCAAAAAGTTAAATCAGTGAATTATTGTAAATTATTTGCTTAAAGGCAAAATTACGCAGAGAACTTGTAGAGAAAACATTCCCCTACGTGTTGAAACTTCTAGAGAAGTTTTTGCAGGAACACCAATATTTCGTCAACGATAAGGTTGCTTAATTTGTTTTTATAAAAAAATTTACTTAGGTAAACTGTTTCCACAAAACTATGAGAATCTATAGATGCTTTTTCTTTCCATTTTTTTATCAAAAATCTAGTTAAAATCAAGATCAAAGCGTTTGTGTTTAAGACGATATGTTTTTGAAAAGTTAAAATTCATTTTAGTTACAAAATTCGCCATTCATTTTAGTTACAAAAGTCACAAAGCATGACATTTTTTATAGAACCATTTCACTTCCCAACACTGTTCAGCTTGCTTTATATAAATGAAAAGATTTTACATCAAAAAACATTTTAAAATGTTGTCATTCTTCTAAATTATTAACTGGAAATTATTTATTTTTCCACAGTTATCCCTGGCAGACTTACATTTTTTCTCCGTGTTTGAGAGTGCTACCCCGGTGTACGACGGCTGGCCCGATCTCAGCCCCAAATTGAAGGCCCTCTACGATAGGGTGGCCGCGACACCCAGAATTTCTGAATACCTGAAGAAGAGACCAGCGACACTCTTCTGATGTGGCGACGATAAATAGAATTTATAATTTCATATAATTTCATGAAAAATTAGAAATAATTTCGTATAGGTAATAATGAGTTATGATTAATACTAAATTAAAAGTTGATGATACAAGAGAGGAATATTTTTTTCTACAGAAGTTCATTTCACTTTGCCGGGTTAGAAAATATTTAGTTGAGAGCAGTGTTATTGAGCCATTGTATTGGTAGTAGCAGTAATAATAGTAGTGGTTTTAAAAGTGCATTAGTTTAAAATTATTATTTTTATTATTAGCAACAGCAGTAGCAGTAGTAAAAAGAATGTTACTACTGTCCAACTTTGTTTCCAATTTACTAAAAAAGGGATGGGCAAACTTTTTGCTGTGAGGGCCACATTGAGAACTATTTTACCTTTGAAGGGCCGCGTATGTACTTAAATAGCAAATTTTTCGACAAGGGGGAGAATTTTTTTAGGATTTGTGGCTCTTTTTTTTGGTTATAATTTCTAACTGACGACATTTTTTGGGCGAACAAGGCCTCGCGGGCGCATAAAATAGCTTCGCGGGCCGTACTTTGCCCATCCCTCTACTAAAATATAAAGTATTAATTCGCTTCAAATCGTGTTGTCTTCTAGCTTCTTTTCAATGTTTCAGTAAAATCTATTGTTAGGATCTGAGCAAAGCATTTAATTGCATTGTTTTGCCGTATTAATGTTACCAATTATACGTTTCATAATGATGTTGATATCTCTAATCCAAATATAACAACTGACTAATTATCACGTTATATTATTATCATTGCACCGTCGTCATCATCGTCATACCATCGTCATCATTGTAAAGGAATAGAGAGAGAGAGAGAGAGAGAGAGAGAGAGAGAGAGAGAGAGAGAGAGAGAGAGAGAAAAAATCAATCGCATACAGGTACAGAACCGTATCTAACCGGCTTTATAATGAATAAATAACCAAGTTAATGTAAAATGTGTTGAATAGGCTAGAGTTCCTTTTCTCTTACTACACGGGCTTCAAATGAGCACAAGCACACACATACACACAAACTAACAAACACATAAACCAAACGTACGTGAATTCGCATGAAAATAGCAACTGATCACGCGCATATCGCACAGCCAGAAAGGATCTTTTTTATTTGTTTGTAGCAGGTTATTGAAAAGTAGGAACAGACGACTTTGGACCATAACATTATACACCACCGATTGCTTAATTTGGATATGTAATTTATAAAAAAATATTTATGTAAGATGATCACACACACACATACACACACACACAAACAAATTTTCACATACAAACACATGTTAACTTATGCATTGTGCATGCTAATTCAACATAAGACATGTTTAACATCTAAGTTAAGTTATTCAATGAAAATTGTCATCTAAGTGAGGAAACCAGATATGTCATAAATCAAAAATTGCTATAACTACCTATGTATGTATGTATGTATGTATGTATGTATGTATGTATGTATGTATGTATGTATGTATGTATGTATGTATGTATGTATGTATGTATGTATGTATGTATGTATGTATGTATGTATGTATGTATGTATGTATGTATGTATGTATGTATGTATGTATGTATGTATGTATGTATGTATGTATGTATGTATGTATGTATGTATGTATGTATGTATGTATGTATGTATGTATGTATGTATGTATGTATGTATGTATGTATGTATGTATGTATGTATGTATGTATGTATGTATGTATGTATGTATGTATGTATGTATGTATGTATGTATGTATGTATGTATGTATGTATGCATGTATCTATGTATGTATGTATGTATGTATGTATGTGTGTGTGTACGTATTATTATTATTATTATTATTATTATTGAAACATTTATGAAGCGCTAATTAAAGGCATCTCAAAAGCGCTATCTAACAAAAACTGAACTTAACAACATAATTGAAATAACAAACGAGGAATCATAATACATCGCACAGAAATAAGATTAAAATTTGGTCATAGACAGAAAAGTAATCGATTCAATAAAACGAAAATACGAAATAATATTTAGAACATGTCGACTAAACAGAAAGAATCGATCAGTAATGCATTACGATGAAAATAAATGAGTTTTCAGTTTCTTCTTGAAATCACGCAGGTTTAGGTCCGGATTTCTGAGAGCAGCAGGCAGGTTGTTCCAAACAGTTGGTCCAGAAACAGCAATGTTACGAGAGCCTATACGGAGACTCGTTGTTGGGATCAACAGCAGGTTTGAAACATCGGATCTCAAGTGTGTTCCAGATGCTTTTGAAGATCTCTTTTTGAACCTGTCAGACAAATAAGATAGAGCTAGACCGTTGATAGACCTGTAGACAATTGTTGAAATTTTGAACAACACTCTTTTTCCGACGGTTAGCCAATGAAGTTCCTTCAGTATTGGAGACACATGATCGTATTTTAGAGCTCCAACAACAACTTTTGCGGCCCGATTTGCGGTACGTATGCATGTATGTATGTATGTATGTATGTATGTATGTATGTATGTATGTATGTATGTATGTATGTATGTATGTATGTATGTTAAAACCAAAACATGATGAGTGACACTGAACCGTCAAACATCAAGTAACGAATGGATCAACACTTTGATTTGTCGTTAATTGCACATGTCGGCATTCAGTTGGATATTTTCAAGCACACAGACACGCAGGAACCGCTGCAACAAGCACGAAATGTGGTTGGTTGCAAAAAACAGTTCCCTGCTGTCACCTGATCTGACACTGATCTTTTTGCCTATTTCCTTAAGAAATTTAAGGGTATTGGGGTCCATCGGGCCGAGAACCTCGATGCATATTGGCAAGAATTCCATCGAGGGGAGGGCATTCCCATATTTTTTCATTTTCTCGTCCGCAGCCCTGGCCGCGGCCAAACCGCATTCTTTACTTGTCAGGTTGACGTATCGTTCGGCGAGGGTGCCAGGGACCGTAACATCCCACGCCAAACATCTGCCGGCTCTCCAAGGTATTAGCGTGCATCCGTCCGGTCGCCTACCATCATGCGCAGAAATGCCGGATGGTTCCTTGAGAACCGGGATTGAAGCCTTGGAGAAGAGCCGACAAATGTAATCGTTTAGCGCTGAGTGACGTAGTTGACGGCCCCCACCCAGGCGACAAACCAAACCGTGGTGCCCAAACTCGTCCGCCTCAGCGCCACATCGACACGTGTATTTATTCTGAATGACCAGGCCAAGTCTGAAGCCAATGGCAAATCTTACAGACTCGTCGTCAAGCCTGGTGCCCACAGAGGTGTTAGGCCACGATCTCAACCACCCACAGCTGGCAACGCTGGACATGGCCAACAAACGAGCGGTTGAAATGTATGTATGTATGTATGTATGTATGTATGTATGTATGTATGTATGTATGTATGTATGTATGTATGTATGTGTGTGTGTACGTATGTATGTATGTATGTGTGTACGTATGCATGTATGTATGTATGTACGTACATACGAATGTATGTATGTGTGCATGTGCGTGTGTGAATGTATGCATATTTATGAATAAATACGCATACAGATTTTACATATTAAATATTTATATAGCTGTTTCATAGTATACTATACATGCTGTTTGTGTAAAAACCTCTAAAGAGAGAGAAGGTGTTGTGGTTGTTGTTGTTTTTGTCGTTCGTGATCTTTGCACCAGGTATGTTTTGACATAAATTCATTTTATTTTTTTAAACATTTTTAAGCTTTTATTTAAATACATGTTTTAGATATAATATTAATTATTAAATTATGAATATTTATACTATATACCTTTATTAATTTAATACATATCAATCTATGTTCGAATATTTATATGTTACCGTGTCAACAATATAATATTTTACAATCATTTCTGGTATTTTTAAACGATATTAGTAACAAACACACAGTGTATGATTTTAATAGAAGTGGATCAATGCACCAGGCATACTCACACAATGCACCAGAAACAATGCACTAGACACAATGCACCAGACACAATGCATTAGATACAATGCACTAGACACAATGTACCAGATACAATGCATTCATTCAAACCCAGTCCCTTGCAACAACGTTCCCAGTCGCTTCAACCGATACGCCATCAGATTAATTACAAATTAAACTAAATTGTATGGTTTAATTAAATTCAATTAATTAATAAATTAACTCAGTGTAACGTTTCCTAAATTTTATGAAAAAAAATGTCAATGTTTTTTAGTCACCCACTAGAACATGCCCAGCTACAAATTGGTGTACTTTAACGGGCGAGCTAGGGCTGAAACAGCCCGCCTTGCATTTGTCGCCTCTGGAATCGAATTCGAAGATGTCAGGGTGGAAGCAGAAAAATGGCCTGAACTGAAACCAAGTTTGTTTTGTGGAATGAAAAGGAAAAATGTTACTTTATTCAATTTCGCAAGTTCACCATCACTATTTACCAAAAGCTGACACACCATAGCATGATTAACAGTTAAATAGTAATTTTTTTAAATAGTTGAATAATCCTAATGTCGAAATTTAAATCTCTTTCTAAAAAATTTTGTATGGTTAATATTCCAATGACCTTGCCGATCAAACATTCTACCTCATGTAGAAACCTTTTCCGGCTACCTTCCTTACTTAGAGGTGGATGGGAAGGTGCTGGTGGAGAGTATGGCCATTGCGAGATTTGTGGCCAGGGAGGGCAAGTTGGCGGGGGGCTGCAATTACGAGCAGGCACAGATCGATTCCATTGTCGACATCCTCTCTTACGTCGTTGAGAAAGTGTACAAAGTTGTGTACTACGCCAAGGGCGAAGAGAAGGTGAGACTGTTAATTGGGTGTTTTAAATTAAATAAATTGTGTAGAATTAGCCGGAAACACGAGGAACTAACCAAAAGTCCAAGTTTGCATCTGATGTAATAAGAGTTTTCAATCTATAAATTGTAAGAATGGCGCCTAACAAATAGCATCCCAGGAATAAATCCAGTTTCTGAATCTAAAATTTAACTTTGAATTTGATGAAACAGTTTTTTTTAAACATGTGTATTTAGTAAAATTATTTTATCTGATTTTTGAAGGAGAGGCTACATAAAGAGTTGGTCGAGAAGACTGCGCCAGAAACCTTCAAACTTTTGGAGAAATTTTTGCAAGATCAAGATTTCTTTGTCCACAACAAGGTTTGATTGCTAATATAATTATTAATTCATTTATCTATTGTAAAACTAAATTGTTTGATACAAAATGTTAGCAGTTGTTTTAATTTAATTTATAAAAGAAAGGTTTTAAGGATTTTTCTTTTAAATATTTGGTAACGTTTTATATTAAAAGTTTCATAAAGCCCGACAGCTCAGAACATCACTCATAAGAGATTGAAGTATTATTCAATAACATTCACATATTTTCTGTTATAAAATTAATTGAATCATTCCCTAAACCTTTAAATTCGATTTTAAAAGTTTAAGAAAAAATATTTATTTAAAAATTTAACAACAATATCTTCTCCCTAAAGCTATCCCTGGCTGACCTTCACTTTTACACTGTCCTCGAAAGCATGACCCCAGCATACGAAGACTGGCCCAAATTGAGCCCCAAGTTGAAGGCCCTCTTCGACAGAGTAGCCACTGAACCTAAAATTGCCGAATATCTGAAGAAGAGGCCTGTTACCGAGTACTGAAAAAAAAGTTCTTCGGTGAAAGAATAGAGTGAATAATTTGTGAATATGAATATATGAAGAGACTTGTCACTGAGTGTTGAAGGAAAAATTATCGTTGAATGAAAAACTATCGTTGAATGAATGGAACGAATATTTTGATATTATCTATGATATAATTAGTATCTTTCGAGTTGTGACAATTGTTTATCTATTCAAACGGTTAGACCCGAAGATACTAAATAAGTTAAAGATTACATCTATCGAGTTAGCCATTTTTGGTAAACCGGATGTGGCGGTGCGGTAGTAAATAGTGGAGTTTCCATAATAAATAGGGTTTTGTTATGTAGCGGATCATCATTTTTTTCGATTTCCAAACAATATGAAAATTTGGAATGATAAAGTCAAGTTGGATATTATTTTTATAAACGTTAGATGTTAATGATTAGAATTACACACGCTTATTCGTTAGGTGTATCAAAATTCTAATGGAAACTATAATTGAAAATTGAATAATTTGAATAAAATTTCACCTTGTTATTGATTTACTTGATTATAAATATCAACCACATTCAAATAAAAACGAATATGATTCACATCAAAATGTAAAAATGATTCCTTTAAAACGAACAAATAAAGAATAAGAGTGACGTATATGGTCCAATCAAGACGAAAAATCCGATAAAGCAAAGATTCTTTAGTCGTAAACAGAATACCTGGAATGAGTTGAGTGATGAGACCATGGAATCAATACCAGGAGGGCTAGGATACTACTTCTTATTTGGCAGCGGTTTTCAGTTTCAAAGCGATGGAGACTGGTCTACTAAGCGACTTTAGGCTCCGTTATGTCATGTTTGTATGTGTGTATGTTTGTTTGTGTGTTTGTTTGTTTGTGTGTGTGTGTTTGTTTATTTGTTACGTTACGTTATGTTGTGTTATGTTATGATGTCAGGTTAGGTTATGTCACGCTATGTAAACAAGCTTTTTATTTCATTGTATGTGTTTGTGATCAGGTCTCCCTTCAGTTCATCAACATATTTTTAGTGTAAATTTAAACTTTTTAAACCAAAGTCAAGATGAATAATGATAATAAAATTTTAATTCTATAAATAATGTTAATAAATATTTTAATATTAATTCAAATATTTTTTCATTTCCTAATATGGTTTCTAAAGTATTGTCAAAATAATCATTATATATATATATATATATATATATATATATATATATATATATACATACATATACATATATATTATTATTTATATTATTATAAATATTTATATTATTTTATATTATTATTATAATTATAATATTATATGATAATTACACAAGTTTCAAAATGACATACAGATAAACTTGTGCTTATCAGAAGCAATTTATTTCGTCCACACACGCACACTCACCCAAACGCACGCACGCACATAACATACCCGCACACACAAACACACACACACAGACACACACAAACACGCACACACACACAAACACGTACGCGTTTTAAATTTAGGCCCAAAATCAAATTTAAATTTCGACTGAGATAATTTAAGCCGGTAGCTGTGGTCTCAAATAATGCCTGCAACATTTTATTCTATATGCACTTTGAGTGTGTGAATGATTGAACTGAATGAATGAATGAATGGATGGATGAATGAATGAATGAATGAATGGATGGATGGATGAATGGATGATGGATGGATGGATGGATGAATATATGAATGAATAAACGAATGAAAGAGCATGTGTGAATGAATGACTGAATGAATGACTTAGACGCTTGAAAAGATGAGTTAAGTACTTTTGCCGATTGTATCAATAATAGCCCGTAGCTGTACTATAGCAATTTTACGTTACGTATTTATATACAAAAGTGATACAAATATATGTATTTATGTACAGCACTACACAATGTTATACAAATGTATAAACACATGTTTGTATATACAAAACATTGTGATGTTAATATATACAAATTTGTATGTAATACAACGTTATACTGTTATTGTGAACTCGTATTCAACATATCCTAATACAAAAATCTTCATCTGCGTATAATACAATGTTATACAAATATATGTGTAGTATAAAATTTACCACATGTTTAAAATTTGCGGTATAGCATATATGCGTATATACATAATGTATGTTATAATGTGGCTATGTTATACAAATATATGGTATTTATTTCATCTTATGGGTACTTTATTCTCCGGATTTTATTAGATTTTAAATAATTTTTCAGGTAGTTTGGACAGTTTAGCGTGTGGATTTGTTGCTAAATTAATAACTTTGGACGTTGATTTACGATCTGGTTTGTTTGTTTAATTTGAGTTGGTAGTCTCTTAAGTTCTGTTTAATTTAACTTTAATTTCACGCGCTTTTTATGTCTCAATTTTTAACCTATTATTTTTTCACATCGAAAATGTTGTTTTTATATTTTTTAAAAATATGGTCGAGGCAATATTAGAAAATTTATAACTAACTGATTAAATAATCAAGTTTTCAACTAATTAAACAATTAATTTCAACTAAGTTAAATCAATTAATTTAAACCAATTAAACCCGATTGATTTGAGCAAATTCAAATCAATAATTAACAAATAGGTCTCTAATTAAATCTAATCACAATTTGATACACACTAAGTAAAAAAGCTTAATCGAAATGAATATTCTTCAAACTACCTTGTTGACCTATAATAAATATCGGCAAAATTTCACATTTCTTGTTTCCATATTATGAAAAGGTGTAGGGGGGGTACTAAAAGTTAGGATTAGGAATATAGATTAATAATACACTAACCTAATACTATTTATTTATATATCTCTAATCTATATACGCGTAATGTCTACATGTCGCATGTCTTCTTTATGTATTATATTTTATACGCAAATAAGAGGCAAAATTTCTACATCGCAAGACGTAATGACTCCAAAAACCGTTTCGAAAACTGGCTATTCAACAGACAAGAAAGGTGAAGGGCCTTTCAAATAAACGAAACGAAACGCGATTTGTTTTGTAATTGACAACAGAAAATGCTTCAAGGTTGGCTAGGATGAAATTTAAGAAATTTATCGAGCCTGGTCACCCAAGAATCAAATAAACGCCCAAGAAACTGTATAATGCCAGCAAGGCAAACCGATACGACACGATGCAATACGATACAATGCATTGTATCGACGAACACAACATAATACAACACAATACAATACTATATATACATAAACATATGCTCATGCTTAATACAATACCAGAAAATCTAACAAGAAAGTGGTATTTTTCCGATCTAGCTTGCAGACATGCCGAACTACAAACTGGTGTACTTCAACGGACGAGGAAGAGCTGAAACGATCCGTCTGACCTTTGTGGCTTCAGGGATCGAATTTGAAGACCACAGGATCGAACAGGATCGATGGCCCGACATGAAACCCAGTTAATATTAGTTCTACATTTTGTTTCCCAATTTAACTATAAATTATTTTACAAATTTCAGTGAATTAGATGGTTAATTTCTCAAATATGATCAACTAAAATTGATTCATCTCTCGAGATTATTGCGTAAATTATTTTTCTTCACAGAAACATTCGCGGGCTACCTCCCCTACTTGGAAGTGGATGGGAAGGTGCTGGTGGAGAGTATGGCCATTGCGAGATTTGTGGCCAGGGAGGGCAAGTTGGCGGGGGGTTGCAGTTACGAGCAGGCGCAGATCGATTCCATTGTCGACATCCTTTCCAACATGGCCGAGAAGGCTGTTAAGATTGTCTACTACTCAACAGGAGAAGAGAAGGTACGCCAGATACATGCCATGATCTAAATTTTGTGATTTCTTTCAAAACTTTTTTTCATTCTAGGGTCGAGTTCGGAATGGCAGTTTGATCATTTAAACAAAGTTTTATCTCAAATTTTAGGTCGGAAGTGTTGATTTGACAGATCAATCACCATATTTTTACTCTTCCCTGTAGCCTTCTAGATCGATAGAATCATATTTGCAAGAATTTAAATTATATCAGAGAAATTTTATTTAGAAACTTTAATTTTCATTGTTTAAAACTTGTATAAAAAACTGTCTAACAACTGTTGGATTGATGTTTACTGATTTATTTTGAAGAAAAACTTGGAAAAAGAGTTCATCGAAACAGTCCTACCAGATGTTTTCAAGCTTTTGGAGAAGTTTTTACAAGACAAACAATTTTTAGTCGGTGATAAGGTTTGCAATTTTTCTGCGTTCACCAACAACAATAATTAGTTTTGGAGTAAATTTAGAAAAACTAAATAATTCTAGCTTATCTATTTTTGCTTAGATCAATTAGTTTCATTTTAATTCATTTAAATAATTAAAAATCCCATATAACATTCAAAAACAACCATATCATTCAAAAATTTATTCAAAGATAATTAATTTAAATGGAAAATTCACTCAAGCTGTCACTGGCAGACTTGCACTTCCACACGGTTCTCGAATGCGTTGGCTTATTTGCTAAAGACTGGCCTCTCCTCAGCGGCAAGATGAAAAGACTTTTTGACAGAGTGGAATCGGAGCCCAGGATTGCAGAGTACCTGAAGAACAGACCCGTCACCCCCTTCTAGGCAGTTTGCCCTTCTAGGTACTGCAAAATTACTATTATGTTTTTCACAAATTTAAATTTACATTTCCTGAAAAATATAAATTTTAATTTTCCATTTGGATATCTTTTTTTTCAATTTACAAATTCATTTTTTCTACATCAGAAAAATTGAAACGGAATGAATGTTTTAAAAAGGCAAGCAGGCAGGCGATAGGAACCACTCGACAGCTAGCGATATATTTCTAGGAAGATTAACTTTTCAGATTTTCACCCGCTACTTCTTCCGTAGAAAATAATTTCACTAGAATAAATTCGCTGACGTCATTATTCCTAATTAAATTTACGATTTTTATGCGCCTTTTATTTAATTATTATTTATTTTTATTAATATTATTAATTAGTATTTGAATTATTTCAGTATTATTCCATTAACATTTATTGTATAGTATTAATTTGATTAATTTTTAGCCCAAGAATAGCATAAACAAAAAATAATTAAATTCATCTCATTGTTTTAATGTTTAGTTAATTTATAATCAGGAGACTCATAGGCGTTTACTATCTTTTTAAAGATATTTTTGCCCTGCTTGCCATAGCGTGTAAACGTTTTTACTGTCTTAATAATATTTTTTTAGCCACATTTGTCATATTTTATATGCTTTTATAATAGTAAAAGTATCTTTTTGAAGAGGTACTGTGCTTATGGTAATTATTGTCTGTTCATTTCTAAACTGTAAGTAATCATCAATATTTCACATGTTAACTTACAACGCTATGTCAGATCTTTGTTGTAAACTATTTTAATGAAACGTTTGAATGAATAAACCAAATAATTGAGACTGCAGATTTTTAAAGAATGTTTTTACCAAATAATGATCTAGGAATGACAGTGAATTAGATTTACAACGAGAAAACGAAATTAATTATTTTTTATTTTAACCAGTCCTTTGAACGTTTTTATGATGTAAGTTTTGCTTTCTGTCGAGTTATTCATCTATCATTGATCTCAA